AAGCCCATCGTCGCCGAGCCCGTGATCGTTGCCCCCGTCGTCCCCGAGCCTATCCTCGTCGCCGAACCGGTCATCGTAGCCCCCATCGTCCCCGAGCCAGTGCTCGTCGCCCCCATCCAGCCCTCTCCCGTTGTTGTTCTGCCCGACATCCTTAACTAAGCAATGACGACCTTAAACATTGCACATGTGGTAATGTATCACAATGTATTCAAAATGTGTAAATAAGTTCTCTTACACAATAAATGTGGTTTTATAAATATCGTATTTTTACTGCTACTACTGATCACTGCCATTTCATTACATCTGAATGCTGACATCGTTTTAGTTTGTTTAACTAAAATTATTAGTTAAAATAATCTTAAGTTAGTTTAGTTTAGTTAAGAATGTGATGTGGTTAGCATCTCTAGAATTTAGTAGGATATGTGGAAATTAATTATATGTAAAGATTACTTTGAAGCATGAAAAATAAATTTACCGTAACAACGCAAATACCATCCATAGAAACACTGTAGAAAGAAGCAAAGTAGAAACACTGGTTGTTCTGTAAAATCAATTCGTTATCCACGTAAAATAAACCACATTTTTACAACAAAAACAAAAATATCTCCATGTAATTAAATATGGCGATATTCGACCCCAGGACCTGTGGATTACAAGTTTAGGGCTCAAACCCCTGAGCCATCGACGCTCTGAATTGGGTATGATAACTGGCTAGAAGAACACATAGGCTACTAGGCACTTTTGTTTTTTTGTTAATTCCACGCGGACGGAGTCGCGGGCGAAAGCTTGTATTTCCATATATTTATTCGGCTTGGAGAGTGAATGTTCAACAGTAACTTTGACCTCGCACTTAGCAAGCCTTACCTATATGGTTATTATTTAGTTAATTATTATAGTTTAAGGCTATTTTCATTTAATTTTATAGAATAACATACATGCAGACAAACTTTGAATTACCACTTTAGTCCTTTAGAGTATGATTTTCTGATTGAAAACACAGAAAAAAACTTTTACAGTAACTACTTCTACATAATTAGTAACAGAGACCACGGTAAGCAAAAAAGCGCATAGTTTGATATCGAGGATGCCCTATATAGATACAGCATTGAGGGTAATAAATAAATGACTGTAAGGATTATTTTATAGAAATATGTAATAGGTATCTATATCTATACTTCTATACTAATATAATAAAGCGTAAACACACACTACTTTGTTGCGTAAGATGTCAGCAATCACAGCATATTTTTGAACAATTCTTTCTTTAATAAAAAGCCCTACACTTACTTCACGCTTTAGGCTATATATTTTCACGCTTTTAAACTTAGAGGGTAAATAAATTGGATAAAACCCCTAATGTGGGAAATGGCCATAGGCTACAAGCTGCCAACATTAAGGAAGTAAATTACCATGGTTTGTCATCAAGTCATGTCATTTTGACATTTGCAATTGCTAATTTGACAAATGTAAACAATAAAATAAAACATAAAGTCGTGCGGATGAAGCCGCACGGGAACAGCTAGTTTTATTATAAAGTAATTACTTTTGTTATTTATCGTATTTTTCAAAAATATCTCATACTGAACTTATTTGTCTTGTGAAATATATTTTTTTATTTACTTTATTTTTATGTGTCTTTAATTGCGCTTTATGATACACCCAATAATGTAACTAGTGACTTAATTTAATATTAGAAGTAGTTACTATTGTGTCAATGAAAATATTTTTTTTGTATTCCCTTCGTTCTCTACAACCTCAGAGTTAATAGGTAAATTGGCCAACAAGCTCTTTGCTATATTGTTATAAATACCTATGTAGATACGTAATTAGTTATTTAAACTTTTGGGCAGTTCAAAAATTAAACATGTCAATTTTAGTTATGTTTTTATTGCATTGAAGGTTTATTGATAACAAATTATTTTAAGTAGCAGTTATTTACAGGAAGCAGTGGTCTAGATTTAGTTCAGAATGTCGGGAAGAACCACAACGGGAGAGGGAACGATGGGAGCGACGATGACGGGCTCAGCGATGACAGGCTGGTCAACTACGATGACGGGCTCGGCGACCTCAGCCTCCTCGACAACTTGCACGGGGGTGGGCTGGGGAACGGTCTCCACGACGACGGGAGAGCCGGGCACGTTGGCGGCGGCGT